AATCCTGGTCCGGGGATCGAACCCGGGACGAACGCCTTTCCAGGGCTGTTGCTCTAGCAATCGAGTTAATCAGGAAGCTGGCATTTTCGAGCGTGAGGGCAGCGTGAGCAACTCGAAGCACATAGCCACAAGTAACGTAAATTATTTCTGCGGAGACCCGCAACGTGGCGGAACGGCTAGGGAAAATAAACAATTAAGGTAGGTAGTCTATTTCCCGTTTAGTTAGCTTTATTTTCTCAGCTGCATTTGAGACTTTTGTGCATTGAGGTTTCCTATTGAGAATATTCGTCTCCAGAGATAGTTTACCAGTGCCATCACTAATGACTGCACAGCTGACTTTCATTAAACGTTCTTCAATGACACTAATAAGATCATCATTCATTGCGCCAGCGCTAACGTCGGGTTCCTTAGTTAGAGCCACGCGTCTAGTTCTAAAGCGAAAGTTATTTCCTGTACTTTCTTCCTCGGCGCTTGCTCAATGACTGGCTCCTTACGTACCAGTTTCTGCCATTCCTTTGTCAAGTACAGGCTAATTCCATGCCTTAGTGTTCTATGGTCACTACCTCGCGTCTTTCCAACTGCTTCCACATTGAGGGTAGTGATCTTGGATTCTTTGTCTCACAAGCATCTTGCATGTGAGCGCGAGTCGATGTGCTTTTTGGATGTTGTGCTCACATCCTAGTTGTATTTGCACATCTGGTAAAATGCCTGGATGGGCACACAGTATTTCATTTTTACTTTCATCATTAGTACTTCTCCTATCCACTAAGATAGCCCATTTTCTGTAGAATGTATTCAAGATCCGTAAATTGTTTGCGTTCTGCGAAATCTACTAGTAACTTAGCTCTCAAACGTCTAGAACCTACAACATATTTCTCTGCCTCATATTATGCTGTCTGCATACCATATCATTACAGTCATCTATCACAGACGTTTACCATGTCTTTAGCTTGCAATTTGCAGTGTCGAAGTCATCGTAGGAGCGTTAACGGAATGATCCTAATGACTGGATGCAGACGCGTAAAACTGTGCCACCTTCAACTTTTATCTCTTATTAAGTTTGATCTGCAATACTTTACGACCCTCTCTTTAATGTTATAGTATCTCTTCATGCTGCCCGCTATATCTTTACGAATAAGAAGCCCCACCCTCAGTTCACTCTTGTCAACTAAGCCACGATAGCAGAAAACGTCTCCGTTTTTGAGCAGTGTATGTGCGCCTCATATAAATTTAGTGACCTTAGTGACTTGCCATTTGCTGATGACATTGCAATAATGAGTAACTAGGGAATGGATTATTACTCATGATTACGGAACTGGACAAGGAAAACTGATGAGTAGGTCTGAAAATATTATGCATAAAATAAAGTACTTATCAACAGTCTCAGCAGAAAACCGCGTGTTGAAATAGGTGGCGATACATTGGGAAGTTTTAAAGAATACGTCTACGTGGGGCAGGTAGTAACCAGAGGACCAAATATAAGAAATAAATGACTAGAAGACTGAAAATAGGGTATAGCAGGTTTGGTAAGCATTCTAAAAAAATGAATAGTAGTCTACCACTATTCCTCAAGATGACGGTATACAACACCTGCATCTCGCCAGCACTTGCCGACGGCGCGAAAACCCGGAGGCTTGTAAAAAGGTGGCAACTTAAGTTGAGGACGACTCAGTAAGTGTTGGAGAGAAAAATTACAGGTGTATCATTTATTGGTATGCGGGGTTTAACGTCCCAATACCACCATATGATTATGAGAGACGCCGTAGTACAGGGCTCCGGAAATTTCGATCATATGGGGTTCTTTACGTGCACCCAAATCTGAGCACACGGAACAATGACAGGTGTAACCTTAATAGACAGTAAGAGAGCACAGTGGACTAGGTAACAAAGAAAGTTAAAGGTGCCATAGTTGAAATGGAGAAGAAATGAACATGGGCCGGGCACGTAGATTGTAGACAGCATAGCCGCAGGTCATTAGAGGTAGCTGACTGAATTCCTAGAAAAGTAAAAAGCGCGAGATGAGGAATTGTTAGAGGGTAGATGAGATTAGAAGCTTTGCAGGTATAACTTTGCAGGTAGGATTAGAAACATTGCAGGTGGAAGCAGAATCCACTAGATCGGGTTGATTGGCGGAACATGAGAGAAGCCTTTGCCCTGCATTGCGCGTAGATAGACTAATGATGACGATGATGATGATGACAACGTTAGTTTGCGCACAGAGTGAAGTGCACGTTTTTGTAGTTTTTGGATACGTTATGTAAACAGCTGATTTTCATATTTGTTCTTTTTTCTCTACCCCCTTTCTACCACTGTATACTTATATGGGCGCAATTGGTAATAAATGAAGAAAATGGCCCCGTATCTGCATGTTACACCGCAAATGTCGTCGAAAGATGGTAGTTTTGCGTCTGGAGAGAGCGAACAAAACGTTTATTTGATCTTTTGCGCAAGAACATCAGTGAATGGCATTCTTGAGGCGCTGCGTTAGGGTGCCTCGAGCGTGCAGCGAAGGTGAACGAGCGCATGAAGTCATGTTACACGTGAGACATGATTGCTATCTGGCAGTTATCTTGGAAAACGAAGCGCGCGCGCCCTGCACGCCCGTCTCGCAGGTGATAAGCTGTTAAACGCTAGGTGACGGGTAGGTGACACCACCGTGTCGTCTTAGCAAAGCGTTGGAAACACTTGCCTTTTCTTGCAAGCGTTACATGTTCAGCGCAACGTTATAAACCCTACGGTCCTTATAATTACTTATGTATGCTTTTTCTAGTAAGAGACACACATACAGAATATTGTCGTGTTCTTATGGTGCCTCAGATAAGCGCAATAATCACTTTTTAATTGACAATCGCACAAGTATGAACACTGAATCTTGAGCAATAATGGTAGGCGCTGCGGATGAGGTCGGCCGTTTGGGGTATCGTCTGGTGCCTTTTAGGGTACCGTTAAGGGCGGACAAACAGACAAATGTATAGGGAGATAGACAGACAGACCAAAACTTTTGCGTCGAAGGTCCATAAGAAAGACTATCGTCTTTAATAAATTGGCACCGCTGACCCAACGAATGCAGTGAACGAATATCAGGGTTTCAGGAGGAATCTAATCAAAGTTTTCTGTGTCAAAATAAAGTATTCTACTAAAGAGCCACGACAAGTCACGCAGCAGCTTCGGGAAAAGACGGTATGCTTATGTTTTGTTGGTGAAATGTCAGTATTAGTTGACGTGCTGGCTGTCGAATTTTATAAATGTTACATATGTAATCCTAGATTAAGGCTTTTCATCCGGTTATCGTCAGGTGTGTACTTAAGCGCCCTCCAATGAAGTTGCTCTACGTGACACTAGTCAGCGCTGTCATCGTGGCAAGCACAAGCGCTACATACCAGCTAACCTCTTTTGAATACTTGTGATACCTAAGTTGCGGTTGGCATCGTTATGCCACTGCAAACAACTAGCTCTTTAAAAAGTAGTTCCTTATTCAACATTTGCCTGGGCGTCACCCACTTGTACGTATCTTTTCCGTAATTTTACAACTTTGAATTGAATAAAAAATTTACACCACAGTCATATTCTCTCTGCATGCTTTGAATAAATCCATTTCTTTACTACGTGTGATCTGCAGAATTTTTCTAGGTTTCCTAGGTTTAGAGACCCTTCGCTGCTGCGCAATCTACGAGCTCTATAAATGTGTTGCACGAAAGAGAAGTGTCACCTCATTGTCTTGTGTTTTTACAATTATGGCTAAGCATGAACTTTTCAAAGGCAGCGTGAACTTAGCGCATTCCTGCACACTTTCTTGTCGGAAAAAGGTTGCCCGTTTAGACTCGACTCAGCCTCTGTTATCCCAGAGTGTGTGAGACGACAACGCAAAGAGAATTGTTGCTTCTTTTTTTTTCTCCTGTGTTCTTGTTTTAGAAGCAATGAACTTATGCCATCACGTCTTACGCACTCGTTGAAAATTCTGTACTTCTGACTCAGTCATTGCCTTCATATCCACCAGCGTTTCGTCACAGTGCATGGAAATACACAATCAAACAAATGATAGCATTTCAGTAGTGTCAGTTTCTTAAGATGTTTGATAAACAGTCGAAGTTCGTGCACCCTTACTTTTGCAAATTTCAAATTATTGCGCCTGATTTTCAAGATCTCCTAACGATAGTTACTTTAGGAATTGTTTAGAACCAACTTAAGAATTGTGCCGGCATGTCATGAAACAATGTCACAGTTTGCACACTAAGTAGAAACAACGAATCCAAAAGGAACAAATCAGACTCTTAAGGCTAGCAACCTATTTTATTTGCACTAGATATGGTGCAACTCGAACAAAATTCTAGCGTAAGGAAATGTGAGAGCTGCATCCAACGAAGTGAAATAGCGTTCAATACAAACGTCGCCGTGAATGCACAACACGTGCAGAGATATAAGGAGCCAGCAGCTCATCTATAGCGGTATCCCACCCGCTCCCACTGGCGAACACTTCCAGCTGGTGTAGCTGCGCCTTCATCCCTCGGCAAGGACACTCCGACCCCAGTTCGGCTCCTCCATACGTCTTTTGTGCAATACAAACGGCCGGTGCCTTTAATCTATTCTAAAGCTGCGATGTTCGGCAACACTTGTGTGCATTCGTTTCCAGACAAAACATGTGACATGCAGTGCAATGTTGTCAATTTCAAACTTACATGCGACATACGACAACACATAGAGCAAAGATGTGTATGGAGTGTCTACAAAATGTAACAGCAGTGAAATGCGCTGACTGCTGAGAAAGTATACAGAGCATCACGTGGGTCACATGGTTGCAGTAGCATGCCTAGCTTTTTTTTGCCTACTAGGTACATAGTCGCTCCATTGCAAAGTGTCGTTCAAAAGATGAATACCTTTGACTATTTTGAAACCACGCAGAAGACAGTTTCTTTTGGACATTCGTTTAGATTATATTCATTATGATTTTTCAAAAAGTTTCATGTTTTTCTTTTTGCCATTTATCTTTCCACACCACGCAGCCAACTCCCTAATCCTAGGCAATGCAATGAGAGCTTCAAGAACAACCTGGAACAGCAATCCTTCTTCGATCGATGGGAACAGAAATGCTGCTCACACGGATCCCTACTTCCCAGCAATGACAGCTCATGTAGAAAGTAGCCAGAGAAGCAAGGACGCTTGCACAGTTCGACAAAACAGCAGGTGATTATCAAAATTTATTTATCTACTGAACAAAGGGCAGCTTGCTGATCTATACTTGTACTCTTTTTCATAGACAAACACAAGTTTTGCTGCGCGAAATGTTTAACATTGATTTTTCATGTCAGTAACAAAAAATACCAAATGAAAGCAATTATTTCACTGCATTTTCTTGAGCTTTGTCAGTGGCATCTGTTACTACATGCCATGACCAAACGGTGTTAGTAGGTGCATATCTCTGTGTAACCTCTGAGCATCGCGTCACAGGCACGATGGTGAGCCAGCACTCCTCCCTATGAACTTTGTCGTGCTTTATGTAAAACAAGACGGGAGCGTGTGACCCGCACTCTGCGGTGGCTGCCTACAGCATCATCAGCCGACAGCGAAATATGTTCCCATTCGGCGTTAGGTATCGCGAACAAAATAACGAGTCACGGCCGGTATATAGACAATTGTGCTGCTGGATTACGCTCTCGGTACGATAGCGCAACCGGCGATGCCTGCTGCGCGTTTTCTGCTGCGAACAAATTGAGTGTGCGTGGAAGACGCCTGACACAAATAACCAGTATCTGCCGGTCACGACCAATCTGAAGGCGCGCGCTTGCGAGCACGCGCCTTGGGTGTGGTTGTGACCGTCTGCGCCTGGTTATTTTTTCGCCAAAGATGACATTGAATGCGAACATATTTTCTATCGCTGTCGCTTGATGGTAATGTAGGCGGCCGCCACAAGACGGCGGCCACGGGCTTTCGTGTTCCCTTTCATAAAGGACGATAGACAACATAGCTTACGGCATGCTGCGATCGACACTAAAGTGCCACGTGGGACATTCTGAAGTATTGGGATTTCACATGGACACGCTTTTTGCAACGTTTGGAATCAGATCACCTCCAGTGTTCTAACAGATTGGCAACCTTCTAAGAACACTTTAATTTTACACGCGGGTCACGAAGAGTACACTGTATTGGAAAGCTTAAGCGGCCACCAACGATAGGCTCTGTAATCGTGCAGATCACATGTATTAAAGCAGACCTGCTTTACTGCTTGTGATATGATGAATGGCTGACGTGCTGCTCACCACTGGCATAGTATTGTGTATTGCTTGTGGCTTGACTTTTTGTAGCTTGATGAAGTTTCGTCTTAAAACTTCTAATTGCTGCTTTCAGAAGCCCATATCACGCCACATCTGGTGAACGTGCTCATTCATTCGCGTTCTGGGTGCAAAAAAAAAATAACGCGAACCAAGTTTAGGGAGTGTACAAGAAACCCTACCCTTCTGCAGCAACTATAGAGTGGCACAGGTTCGAAAGTCTCAGTCGAAGCTCGCACCACTATGCATAAATACAAGAGCAATGGCGACAAAGCAAGCCACCACAATGACAGCACCTGTGCCACCTACATCAATCGTGCTTCAGCAACCCAGCAAGTCACCGATATTCTGTGGAATGTCGTTCGAGGTTTGAGAAAGCTCGCTAGGAGCTTATAATCAGGTCGCGTTTTCAACCACTGTAGCAATGCATACAAGCTGCGGCGTGTTCAATTCAGCACGGCTTCAGGACGTGTTTCGAGAACCAAGAGTGGACCCTAACATATGAACAGTTTTCGTACGAAGTTATTCACCTTCACTAGGGTGGTCCGCTAAGATAGGCTCACTACCTCCTCGAAATTAGTGTGCATCTACACAACAGAAACATCCCACACGCCACCAAGAAAACGACTGCAAATTTTCCACCTTGCCTCATATCCGTGAAAAAACATGTCCAATTCCCAAGCGAGATGTTAATGAGGATCGCTTGTCTAGGCTGATGAGAAACTAATCGGAGAGCGTCCATGAGCTTCTCTCGGAAGCAACGACGAATGAAAAGATGCTGAAAAAATTTGAAGACATTTCAGCTTCGCCTTCAAGAGCAAGCGCGAGAGCGTGATCTAGAAGCGTGCGCATCGCCTTCGGAAGTGCTAGCTTGCTTCATTCTCGGAGCATGCGCGCCTCAACCACGCTGCGAGCAGACGAACTACTGTGCGTGTAACATTGGCCGTTTTGAAGTATCATTGAATGCCTATTGGAAGCACAGTTGTCGAGTAAAGACTACGCCATAAATATTTCCTATGCGAATCTGTAAAGGTCCAAAATGCATTGGTAGGCCAACACACAAACCTACGCAACTGTTAAGTTTGTTGATAGGTCTGCTTCTGGCGAGAATTGAACATGTCTGAGCATTATGTGTAGGGTGCGTGGGCTATTAAAAATGCAATTTGTTGTTCTGTTCACATCTTTTGATGCCTGGTGAGATGCTACGCTTCTGCCACGCAATATATGAATTGTTAAATGACTCCTTCCACAACGACATTCACATATAGTTTTAAAAACAGTTTTACCAAGTGTTGTGGCTCTGTGGCAGAACACCTCTTTGCCACGCTAACTCTACACCAGGGTACACCAGACTCTACACCATACAACGCAGAACTCCAACAATTGTGCCCCGGTCATTTGCGTGATACCATAAAACCCGCAGTGCGCGGAAGATTCTTCGAATGTTCCCGTCATGTGAGCGTCAAGTTTCTTGTTCAGAGACATTGTATGAGAGGAATTCTAGCCTTCGAAACTGCCTGACAAAACGACCCCGCCGGATACAAACTAAAGCCAGTGTGCCCTAAACGTGCTTGAGGAATAACTCACCATAAAGCTTCGCTCCAACTTCAAAACCTAAGTCGGCACCGAAAAATCTCAAAACGCCGAAAGCAGCATAAGACTTAATGAGCGTTCGCTGCTAGACAAAAACATTTCGGTCATGAAAATCGCTTGGTTGCATGAGCAAAAAAGAAACATGATGCCGACAAAAATACTTTATGCCTACAAAAAGAAATCTTTGCCACCAGTGATGTGTTTACCTTTTGAAGCTACAAAGAACCAAACACCCAAGTCAATTTTCGATGAAAACCCAAGTCTTCCCGCCCTCAAACAGCAACAGCTCCGTGGGGTTTTGCAGTAATACAAGTATTGTTTGTTTTCTGTTTTTCGTGCCCGAGAAACGGCTCTCGCTATGCCCCGCATCAATACGGCTAAAATGCTAGATCATTCCATCAGAATACTACCTGGTTCCGTTGCGCTAACAGAGACGCGTTGAGAAGTAAGACGACAGAATGCTACAGGACGACATCGTCCAGCTGCCCAAGAGCCTGTGGCCGTCTCCCGTCGAGCCTGTGGGGAACAAGAATAGGAATCTCACGTTGCCTCGTCAATTATCGTCGCCTGAGCGAAAATCAGTAAAGAAAGACTTGTGCCCCTTCACAATTAGAAAACATCCTGGATGAACACCACCATGTCAAGTACCCTCTATCAAAATATATCAACACCGCTACTTGCATATCAATAACGGTTGTAATAACACTGCCTTTATAACACCACGTAGTTCAACTTCAAGCTCATTGAGCGCTGGTTTTTCCTTGATACCTGCGACTTTCCAAGGCGTTCTTAATACAGTGCTGTGTGCCTTGAATGGGCAAACATGCCTCATGTACCTGGACCACATTGTTGTGTTTGACCAAAACTTCAACTAACACCTCCGGTAGCTTAAAGGGGCCCTGAAACACTTTTTCAAGTAACCATGGAATGAACTCAGTGGAAGAGCCTATTGCCTCATTAATTCATTGTCGCAAAATTTTTAAGAGTTCATCCAGTGCGAGTGGAGTTACAGAGATTTGTCGCATGCTGCAATTGCATTCTGTCCTCTCGTCTCGACAATAGCGCTGGAAGCTAAGCAGGGAGGGATGACAGGGCCACAGAAAAACGTCACGCACGCTTCGCGATTTTGAGCACTTTTTTCTTTTGTTTCTTCGAATGCGCGGTTTTGTCAGTGTGATCGCGCGCGTGCGCCCATGTACAAGTAGCGGCCTCCCGTGGCGATCTCTGTAACGAGCAAGCGCTTTATGTTCAAATCAGCCAATGGCTGACAGATGAGTCGTCGACATGAAATTTTTGGGCATATTACGTAATATGTAGAAAGAAGAAAAAAGCAATTTTTAGGTGACTTTATTAATTTTTGCGAATTCGAGGCCGCGTGCTGTGCTATACTATTTGGCTGGCGTGATGTCGGGAGGCTCTTCTACCGATCGGCAGCGTTTTCTGACCATGCTCAAAAAGTGCTGCAAGGCCCCTTTAAAGCTTTACTTCAAGGAGTCAGTACCTGCCGAACCACCCGTTTACTAGGGAACGGCCATTTCACGTACAAGTTGCTTTTCTTTTAGTACTAGATCTATTGAAAAATGGGAAATTGAAGCTGATCCGCGCAAACCAGCTGTAAAAACTGCCTGATCAACAACGCACCAAAAAGTAGGCCTTCAAGGTAAACTGGTGTACGCAAATAAAAACAATACAAAGAAAGACCAGACAAGAAGATGTGCAAACCTTCAACGTGAGTTGAAAGTTTGTGCCTGTTTCTGTCCGGTCTTTCCGCATCCTTGTCAGTACTTGCGCACCACCAATTTACCTAGAAGTATGAGCCAACTCGCCCAGCTGCAGGTTTTACTCAACAGGAAGGCTGTTATTTCTACGCCCGTGCGCCCATTGCAGACACTTTGCGAAAGAACATCAATGATTCACCGAACTACTGACTTACTTGACAAATATCGGCTTGGCATTTGAAGGGCAAACGGCTCAAGCCGAGTTAACTTAAGAACTGAAGGGACGTATGCAGACACCTCTAATACTTATATATTCGACGAATGCGGCAATGCCGAAGCCCTCACCGAATCAAGCAGCATGGGTTAGGCGCCGGCGCTGTGTAAAAGACCTAGATGCTAGGCGGTTACTATTCAAGGCAGAAGCCAACAATTCTTCAACATATTTTTTTTCATAATTTGGAGCCACACTTATTTTCACCTCCATTCCTTTGGCAGACTTATCAAAGCTCGGCGCGATCACCGCACCTTGAGTTGGCTTGTTAGCTTCAAGGACCATCCAGGTTGCCTTGCATGGTGGAAAGTAAGATTTCATGAATTCGACATTACCCCATTTTGCAAGTCCGAAATAAAATATA